TTTCCATTCTTCTTTTAGTTGCACTTCTAAATCTGCAAGTTTTTTAGGCAGATCTGAACAGTTACGCAACAAACGTTCAAGATGATCCCAAAGATGCTCAATAGGATTCAAATTTGGAGATTGAGCAGGCAGTTAATTAACATTTTAATTTTTTTTTAGCAACCTATGCTTTAATATCATTAGCTGTGTGAATGGATACATTATCGTGCTAAAATTTGTAAAATCAGTTACGAAACTTTGAATCAATAAATGGCAACAGGTTATCATCTAAGATTTTTATATAATCATACCGATTGATTATTCCTTCTATTTTCACTAAAGGACCCAATCCTTTACCTGAAAAACATTCCCAAACTATAACTCCGCCACCATCATGTTAAATAGATGAATTCAGGTTTTTAATATTAAAACGAGTGTCTGGTTCATGTCAAACTCGAGAAGGACCATCATTATGAAAAAGTGTAAACTTTGATTCATCGCTTCATATGACATTTCTCCATTATTGTACTGTTTAATTTTGTCTTTCTAAGTACCATTCTAGCTGTTTTTGGCATTAATTTCATTTAAAAATGGTTTTTTGCAGCTTGATAAAAATTGTATCCAATTTGATGCAAATTCTTCCAAATTGTTTTGGTACAAATATCTTGACCAGTTGTTGCTGAAAATTTCTTTTGTATTATATCAGCTGAAGCTTTATTATTCTTTTTAACAATTTTTTTTAAAATTTTGCGATCTTTATCATCAAGTAACGGAGGCTAACCACTTATTTTTTTGCTTAACATGTCATCTGAATCTCCATATCGTTAAATTATTATTCTAACTGTGGACTCTGATCGATTCATAATTCTAATAATATCAGACTTTCTGTAGCCACTTTTATATAGTCTAATTATTTGTGCTCATTCAATAACGGTAAGTTCAGGATTTTTACCCATTTTATTAGATTGATTATCATTATGTTATATTTATTTATGTTTATAATTATTTTTATTTTGTATTTGTTACAATAACAAACAGTTATATAAACAAGAATCAGGGCTTACAATTGGTACCAAAATCAATTGATTTTATTATATACAATTTCAAATAAAATTCAAAAAACTGATCACGTAAACTTATTTTTAGGTAGTATACATATCGCATAATTTATTATAGCATTAATGAAGATTCTTATAATGAAGTCCTGATCAGCTGGATTGGCAACTTTGTTATATCGAGGTGTGACTGTATATATTTGCAAAACTACTGCATTTTTTTAAAAAAATATAAAATTTAACTAAAATCATCCTCAAAAATAATTCCATTTCGAACTTTTATTTTTCTCTTAATTTCTCAATTATAAAATAAAAATGAGCTGAAAAAGGTTGATTTCTAAATTACACGGTGATGATGATGATTCATTATCTAGTCAATCTTCTAATACATCTTCTCATAGAAGAAATAGATCGATTCTTATAGAGGGTTTTCAAAAGTTTACGCACACTTTTTTTGTATGAATTTTAATAATACTTTTATTAAGTAAGCAAATGATCATCAAATAATAAATATTGTTTCTAGAATAGTAAATTAAACTTTGTACTAAGCTGTTTATTATTTGATCAGGCCACCATTTTCATCTAAATATATTACCAACATCATAAATATAATAAACATCGCAAACTTCGCAAAAATCGTAAACCCCGCTTGTTTTATGCACTCATAATTTGAGATGACCGTGTGAATAATCAACCTTTTTTTAGTTTCAATAATCACGTACTAGCTGGGTTTGATAAGAACCATCTGAGGAATGGTTACCTGCTTGTGTTTCAGCGACAGTGAAGCACAGTTCAAGTCGAATGTTCTGGGGATGTTTTTCTGCATAAGGATTAGGGCCAATTGTTTCTTTAGTTAGTTCTATAAATGGTGCAGTGCATCTCGAAACTATGTGCAAGCATATTATCCCTACTATGAAGCGATTTTTTCCAAATGGTGATGGTATTTTTCAAGAAGACAATGCTTCTTGTTACAAAAGCAAAATTGTTGCAGAATTTCATACAAAAAAAATATCTGAACCCTTAAATGGCCTGCTCAAAGCCCCGACCTTAACCCAATCGAAAATCTATGGGACAAATTAAAAAAATTCTTTGAAGCTGAAAAGTAAAGCCCACTAATCTTTCCTCACTTAAACGACAAGTACAAAAGGCTTAAAAATCAATTACTTCTGAAAAAATTAAAAATTTAGTCAAAAGTATGTCTCGACGAATTCAGGCGGTAATAAATGCAAATGGTGGTCTGACCAAGTATTAAACCCTTAATAAAATATATATTTTAATAGTCTAGAAACATTATTTATTATTTTTATTATTTGTAAATTGCTTAATTTTTTAATAAAATTTTGAGTAAATTCGCACGAAAAAAGTGTGCGTAAACTTTTGGAGACCCTCTGTAGTTTACATCTTATATCAAAGTAAAAATTATTAAAATCATATGAATTATTAACGTTAACGTTAACAAATGTGTAAAAAAATATAAATCATATGATTAAGCACGTGATAATAAAATTTATGCAACTCTTTTTTTTTATTTGGCCTAAAATAATGTATAGTTTATAGTTTTTTAGACTTTTAAATGGTATCTAGTACAATGCATTAAACCATCTTAAATAACAAGACGATTAACTATCTTATACCAATAAATATAAAATTCTTTTCAATAACAATAAGTTAAGTTTATATTGTTCGGGTTCCTTTCGGATCAAATATTACTATTAAACCCTTCGATTAACCGAATGAATATTCGCAGAACGTACCTTTACGGGCCGAGCCCGCATGCATAATTATTAATCTGGTCATTTGATTTTCTTCATATAAAAAAAGTTTCAAACTAAAATAGATACAACCCGTTTTAATGTTTTGTTGCAATATTTTGTTTAGATTTTGATTTGTATTATTATTATTATTACAAGATATCATTGTAGAACCGTATAAATATTGCCAAGTCGATCGGCCATTAATTTTTGAAACAAAATTGGATAACTTAATAAAAGCAATTTTTACTAATCAAATCACGAAATGGTAATAATTAAAAAATTACTGTAACAATATTTTATATTAAACTGCAGCCGACTGTCCATAGTAGGATTCAGTTCGTTGGATGGAATCAAGAGATTAAAACTGCTGCGTCATTCAATTTATTTGAAGACCGTTTATCAAAATAACAAAATCCGTGGGTTAGCAGAATTTTCGCAATGATAAATGTCAAGTTTATCGATTAACAGGTAATTATTCTAATAATCTTTTTATTTTATTTTTATTTTCAATTCAATTAATGTAGATTTCCAATCTCTATAGGATAATTTCAAATTCGTCAAAAATGAATGGATTGGACCGGTTTCTGCTAACTGTCGATGAAAGGATTAACAATCACACTGTATCCTTAAAATAAATCAGTAATCAAATCTCGAACGTTGGGCAATGTTGCAAAAATATTACGCCAACGCTGTAAAAATACAGATTTTCTATAATGTCGTGTAGCAATAATTTGAACAAGAAAAGCCATTATATTTCTCATCCAAATAAACAAATATGTTTATAATATTATTACATCATCATTTTTATTTTTTTATTAATAATAAATTACGGGTTTGTTAGGTTTATTATCATGCCATTTTCTAGACCGCATCAGTTCGTAATACCGGCAGTAAATTTTAGTGACACCTGCCAAGTGAATCATAATACTATTCTGAACCTTAAAGTGTTCTTCTCAATGATGAACTCTAAACATTCCAAAGTTCGTTCATTGCTGATTAATTTTGTAAGGAATAAATATTTTGATCAAATCAAATTAATTGCATCTTTATATAAAGGAAAGTTGTTCATTTGTGCCTGCGTCACTTAAATAGAACCTCGGTCATGATACCATATTATTTGCGCTTTGCGCGAGCATGCGTGGTCAAGTAATTAATTGTTCTCAAGATAGTAATCAGTCTTTCATTTCAATTATCCGAAACCTTACTCACTATTCGCGGTTACATTGAACAGGAGGAAATAATGTACCTAGTTTTCACAGATTCCCTCCATGCGATTAGGTTATTTGTTTTTAATATTACACAAGGATAAATAATTATTATAAAGGTTTTATATTATATGCAAATTAATTATTAGATTGATTTAATACATAATCTTTAAAAACATAAATATTTTTAAATTTATTTAATTTATTGGTCCGAAAATTCATCATGTGAAAAGTTAAACAGTTTATTATAATTTAAAATTAACCGAATCAAAATCGTACCAATAAAGTTTTTTGTGAAGTACCTATCGTTTTATTCTGGTAATAATTCGCTCAATGGTAATTAAATATACAATAAAAAGGTATATAAAGACGAAATAATCGGTGTCTCGATTTTTTTTTTAATAGCAAACAAAAAACAAAAAAAGAAACATTTTTTTTTATTTTTTTCCAACAGTCTTTTCTTTTTAAAACTTGAACAAAGTAAAAACTATTATCACTTCTAAATATGGTTCATCATATTGGACGACGTAGTGATCTCACTTTAGACTTGGTAGTATATGCAGCCTTATTTCTATTCAGCCTCGCGATCATATTCCTTCTTGACTGTATATTGCACAATTTGTTTAATCCGGCTGTTGTTCCAACCAAACCATTGTTACAAATTGATTCTTTAATGGTTTCTGATGCCGTTTTTAAAAGCGGGGTCATGGTTTCTCTATAATCTTGAACATGTTGTAAAAAAGAAAAATCAATCGCCTTCCTGAATTTGAAAATTCTCTGATAAACTTTTTTTTTTGTTGTTATCATTCCTTTTTTTATAATCGATGTAATTAATTAGTCTCTCTCCCAATAACCGTTACATCATCTATTGTATTTTATATCCCCTGTAATTAATCAAAAATATTTTTTTTTGTACTTAGTTTTGTGCTATCATATAATTAACCATGCATTTACATATTTTTAACATCATCTACATTAGCATATATATTTACCTTCTTTTTTTTTTCCTTCTTTTTTATTCTGTAATTAAATCTTTGCAAAACCATAAAAAAAATTTAATAAAGTTCAAAAAAGAAATGAAAAAAAAAAAAAATCTTATCCTTTTAAGATTCTTTACGCGTGCTTTGATTTGTGTGCAGAAATCAATTTAGTCGGAATACCCGACGAACAATTAAAAAGTTTAAACAATATGCGTACCCCTTAAAATAAAATCGGAGAGGTGCCCTAAGATGTATTAAATAAATGTAGATTAAATTCTAAAAATCGAAATCAAAACCGAATAAGTTTTTAAAGTTTTTCATTTTTTTTTTCTTTTTTTGTTTCTCCACATTTCAATAAAAAATAATCCGATTTCGTAACACGAACGGAAAATTCTAATTAATTATCCGTCCCCTTTATCAATCCAATCAAACCTTAATTCTCTCCGCTATGGAATTGGGAATTTTCGAACCCTAAAGATAGTGCAATTTCACCAAATTAGAAACTGATTTGAAAGTCGGCTGATCAACAAAAAAAAAAGATAAATATAGAAATCTTTGAAAAGATTCGATAATCGACTATCAAGAGAAGCTTTGATAATCGACTATCAAGGGAAGCTAATATTTCACTTTTTTTTTAAAAAAAAAAAAATAAATTATCTCTCGCATTCTCAAAGGAACATGTTCATTAAATTTTTTTTTTTTTTTTTTACAATATCACACATAAACAATGTTTTATTTGAACAAAAATAATTTAATAATTACACGTGCAAAATGAATTGAAAGTCTATAAAATTTAGAAATTTCCTTATGCGCTATGAACATTGGTATAATATAATTACTTATCTAATTTCAATTATTCTTTGTTATTATATAAAGATACCAATATTTACATACATTGATAGTAACAAATACATACATATTATGATCTTGCCACAAGACCCGCTTTAAATCTTAAAGAAAAAAAAAAAGAAAGATATCATATGTTGACAATAAATTCGTTGTTGTTCAAAGAATTTTGTACATTACTTTCAAGTAAAATATAATTTACAGAGTAAACAAAGATGTACGCTATCGAAAAACCTAAAGCTATATTTTCACCGTAGGCAAACATGGCCATTTTGAAGAATTCCCATTTCATAAATACTTGAAATCCTTCATGAAGCATTTCTGAAGATTGTTGGAAATGGATTTATTGAGAGTTATTGTTTTGTTTTGTTAGAATGTTAGATAGAGGATGTTATATTTATGATGTGCGGGGGGTTATTTTTTTAACTTGATGAATTTCTTCAGAAACTCTGATATGGAACTTTTTATCCCGTGGGGGTTGTTTTATTTTATGTTTTATTTTATATTTCAAAGAAGTTATTTTTTTTTTAGTAGCTTTCGAATTCTCAAAAGCTCCAATATATATATATTAAATTGATTATTTAGTGCACCAATAAACACAAATCCGTACCACGACCAAGAAAGTCGGTATGTAGTATTAAAAAAACTGGACTTGAAACCAATTAGATTTCAGAAATGCATAATTTCATTTGCGTAAAAAATTTGTGGTAATATTTTGTAAATATTAACATTTTTTTACAAAAAAGATATGAAAAAAAAAAAAAAATAATAAATTGCGAAACCAAAATTTAAGGAGTCGTTATTAGATCTCCTCGTTAATATGACGGAATAAATATGAAAACATGCAATTATAACGGGTAACAATTGTTGTGCGTCGCCTTAAAAGTTACCAAAAATATATCGTACAAATTGAAAAAATCGTTTTGAATTCCTTTGCCCTCTACATCAGTTGCCCAACCTTTTTTTTATTTATAATTTATTTATTAATGATATTGACACATTCATTGCATATTGTTACTTGTAACCTTATGAAAAATTCGATCTTCAATCTTTTAATAGATCGATATTTTTACTTGAGAAATACGTAACTAAATCGGTATAAAATTATTTGATATGTTTTTTTTTTTTTTTTTTTTTTTTTTTTTCCTCGATTAATCAAAAAAAAAAAAATACGGTGTACAAAGTTCCACCCCTAGCGTATTATGTGGCGTAGCAACATTGGTATTGTCTTTAATTATTGTTCAGTGAGCTTGTTTTGGTATTCATTTAACATTCTAAAAATTCAATTAGGTCAATAGAAAAGACTTTGATGATGTAAATGTGCATAAAATTCTTAAAGAACCTTTTCATGCGTTTAAAAGATTCTTTGAATAAAAATCCAGTTTTCTTTCAAGTAAACATGGTTTCGTATATAAAGGTAATCACAATATTCCCAATAAAGAAAAAAACGCCAACATTTTTACAGGCTTTCCACATGATTTTAAAGTCTGAGAATTATCCTTTGGCGTATAGAAGGGTCATTTAAACAATGGTTTTGTTTGCTTTGTGTGACAACCATTTATGATTGAATTGCCAAATTTGTATTACAGGGAAATGATAATTTTACGCGACTTGAAAGAATTTACCCTAGTTAAGACACTTGAATTGCTCGTTTAAAGTTTCGAACCAATACTTTTAATCCTTATGAACCAAAAGTCGAATGATGATCATACCTAAAGAGCGTAAATTTTCATAGTAAAGGGATAAGATCTTAAATGAATCAGCTTATCAACAAATCAAAACAAAGCAAAACAAAAAAAATGATTCAAATGGTAATTATATTTTCGACAATAATCTTACTTATGTGTGCAATTATTATTATTTTTTTTTTTTTTTCTAAATATAAATGACGGTTTGTTTTAGAAACCTATTGTAATAATGGTCTTCTTCATATAAGTCAATTGGTAACATATATATATACACACACAACATTATATATTGAATTGACAATTTGTCAATGCAAATTTCATTCCTATCCATAAACCGTCAAAATTTTAAAAAAAAAAAAGATTCTTGCTTTATTTTCATCTTGAACGAGAAAGTCAACATACCTCCTTTTAACATTCACGATGCATGGATATGGGATATTCAGAGTGCCACTACTTGATATCAGGATTTTGATTGGATGTTGCATCTTGATATACGCTATTGCTATAGCGAATGTATTATACACCTGTTATAATATTTATACGTATTTAATTCCACAACACACAAAAACTTTATTCATTGTTGGAAATGATAATTATTCCATGCTTTTATCAAGTTCGATTTCAGTTGATTTAATAAATTGAAGACTCCTCGACTCCCCGACAAAGATGACTTTTTTTTTTACGTTGAAATTTGAATTAAGATAAATTAAGGTTTATATATGTAATAAAAGATTTGTATGTAACAACTATTTAAAATCAATAATGAGAAGAATTTTTATTTTTTTGGGATTCGTTATGTGTGTCATATATATATATATCATTTTATATTGTTTATTTATGAGGGTATAGACGATATGAAATAAGACTAGAATATTTTTAGTGTAAATTTTGTATATTTTGGTTTCATTTTATTTTGAAGAGCGTTTCAATGGGAAATAAAATTTAGAACATTTTATAAACAGACCCGGTATATTACGTAATGAACGCGAACGAGATTTCTGTTATATAAAGAAATATCACGCGAATTATTATGATTGGATGAATTCATTCACTTCCTTTTAATATGAACACCGGTCATGTGACTGATGTCATAATTCGAGCTAAAGTTAAGAGTTGGACCACCATGGAAACCGAGAAAGAGAGAAATTGCTTTTTATACTAAAATGTTATTTGCCCCTTCCATTAAGTTTCACATAACACGAAATTCAATAATGGTATTTCATAAAGATAAAATTGGTATTAAATGAAAGGAAATTACGATAAACCTTTTGTTTAAACTAAAGAGGCAGGTTATAAAGGCAATGTAATCCATATATTTCAAAGGACGGGACGGAATTGGTATATCAAGTAACGGTATTTCTTCTCTCAAAGTTAGTTTGTCTAGGGTTAATTTATACTTTATGGGTGCCATACTCTTCATATTTATAGAATAAACCAGTGAAAATTCCTGCTTAAATTGAAATGTATTAAAAAAGCCACCTCTTGTCAATCCGCTCCTCCCTAGGTTGGTTAATTGAGGTAAACGCGTCGGAATCCCGGAGTCTTTTTCAATCGGGTTAGAACTTTGAACCGTGAACAATCAAAAGAAATAACAAAAAAAAAAAAAAAAAGTTTGTGGCAAAAAAGTCAGATGTGTTTTTGGTGTAATTTTGGACAAATAAGATCGCCGTTTTTGGAAGGTAACATTCCATGAACTAATTCTTTTGGTGATTCAACAAAGAACGATAGGCAACGCATATGTAGGGAGGAGGTCAGGCGGGACGCTGTGAGGTCATGTGCTGTCCCTCTCCATATTTATCATTACAATTAACACTTTTTTAGAGCAAGTTGCTTTCAGCTGATAATCGGTTAATAATAAGAAAAAATAAGGTTGGATGCATCAACTTAAATCTCGTAAATTACGAAAGTCAGATAGATTCCAAACAAAGAAGAAACTGATAAAGAAAAAGTTGAACGAGAGACAAAAAGCAAGATGTGCTAAATTAAACCTTGCACCTGCGGGATTTTCTTTTCTTGGGCAAAAACAATTATTTATGAAAAGGTTTATATATGCATGCATATATAAATAAAGATATATTTATAACTAACTACTTTATATACATTTAACAAAGTCTTGTAATTCTCATCTAAATAATATTACATAAATATACAAAAAAAAAAAAAGTTCATCTGTTACCAGACCTAATGCATGACCATGAAGTAGGTTCCGGTATACGGATCTCTTGTAATTCCGTAACTCTTGATTATAATATCCCATGTATCCAACTGAAATTGCGTTTTAATCTATGAAATTGTTCAAAAAAAAAAAAAGAAATATATAATAATAATAATTTTAATGTTTCCTTTTTTGTCGTTTTCATAATTTTTTTTGTTATTTTTTTTTTTTTATTAACAAACCTTATGCAAAAGATCTCCGGGAAATTTGGCACAAACACAAGATTCATCGATTTTCTTCAATAAAACTTCAACACCAATCCCATTTCTTTTCCAATTATTATTTTCATAATCCCATTCGACGATGTAACCATCCATCCAATTGGCGATGTACATTTCTTCTTCGAAAAATCTTATATTAATCATTCTCTCATAAGGTATCCATTCGACCACTTCGGAAGGTCTACCAGCATTTTCTTGTACATTAACGATATATTCATCAATAATTTTATTGCCACTTGTCCATTTTTTATCTTCATGTCGTTGTCGAAACCTTTTGGAAATGCATGGTAGACACCAATTCATAAATGAATTGGATCTATTACAATGCTTACATATCCCATAAATATTGGGAAATGTAATTGGAACATGAACGTACGGAATTTCACTTTCTTCATCGATAATTCCTTTCGCTAATAATTCTGGATCCAAATCTCCTTGATGCTTCTCCATATCACTTGATGTCATACTTAAGTATGTTAAATGCTAAAAAAAATAAATAAATAAATTATTTCATTTTACATTAGTACTGCGCGTGAAAAGTAAAAGAAAAAACCGATTATTTAGGATAACTCACTCTTATCATCTTGAAAAGTAAAATGGTAAAAAAATTTAATTTGAATAGTGTCTCAACCTTGTATTAATTTTATTGTTTGTGAAAAAAAAAAAAAAATAAAACTCATGATACCTTTATTTATATACGGGAAAAAAAAAGCTAATAAACACAGATAATACAGATTCGGTTCATTCAAATAGTCTTGTTTGTCGAGAAAAGGCTTGTGAAATATCACGTCATTGCTTAATGCATTTAGCTTATTCCTATTAGGGAAATTTTTTATATCTGTTCATTGTTGATAATGACACCTTTTTTTCCCAACATCTTTCACCTTTAAAAGCTTTTGGTTATGGGACATGATATCCGGTGTTACTCGGTCATCAAACACTAAATTTCATTATTAACCCTTCTTGGATATCCCGTCGGGAAAATTAGTTAGAGCGTTAGTGTTAAATTACCATTTTATGAGTCATACACTTTGCTTAAAATTGACAAAATCGTTTAAAATTAGCTAACGTATGAATGTAAAAAGAGCAATTTTTGTCGACCCTGCCAAGAAAATAAGATTTTTATTCAGACCAAATTAATAAAGCGACGATCAGAACTAAAATATCGTTAACGTTATTGCACAAAATCAAAAAA